TCCATGCTACAGGTGTGTGAAACAGGAGAAGGTGTTTTATTACACTCCTTATCAACCCATGCTGATTCCATTGCTGTTCCTAACAACATTGAGAAGTTGTTGTTGGATTTTGAAGATGTGTTTCAGGAGCCAACTACTCTTCCCCCTAAAAGAGCTGAACATGATCATAGAATTCCGCTGGTTCAAGGTACAAATCCTGTGAATAAAAGGCCCTATAGATATGCAAAGCAACAAAAAGACATCATTGATGGACTCATACGGGAATACTTGAAATCGGGCATCATTCAGAACAGTAGCAGTTCTTATTCTAGCCCAGTTGTTTTGGTTGGTAAAAAGGATGGTGGCTGGAGACTTTGCATAGATTACAGGGAGTTGAATAAAGGAACAGTAAAGAACAGGTTTCCTATCCCTTTAGTAGATGACTTGCTAGATGAGTTACATGGTTCCAAAATCTTTTCTAAACTTGATTTGAGATCTGGCTACAATCAAGTTCGAGTGGCTGATGAGGATGTGCACAAGACAGCTTTTAAGACTCACTCGGGGCATTATGAATACTTGGTTATGCCCTTTGGGCTGACAAATGCCCCTGCCACTTTTCAAGGACTCATGAATACTGTGTTTCAAGAATTTTTACGGAAGTTTGTCTTGATATTTTTTGATGATATTTTAGTATATAGCACCTGTCTTGAGGACCATTTGGTTCATTTATACCAAGTCCTATCCATTATGAGAAACCATTCACTACTTGCCAAGAAATCCAAGTGCTACTTTGGAGTTACAAAGGTGGAGTATTTGGGACATTTCATCACAGAAAAGGGTGTTGCTACAGATCCTGCTAAGATAATTGCTGTGCAACAATGGCCTTTACCCCAATCTGTGAAGCAATTAAGAGGATTCTTGGGATTGGCGGGCTACTATAGACGATTTGTCAACCGGTATAGCACCATAGCTAGACCATTGCATGACATGCTCAAGAAGGATGGTTTTAGTTGGTTAGAGGAAGCTAAGTGTGCTTTTCAGAAATTAAAAACCCAATTGAGCAACACACCAGTTCTAGCCTTACCTAATTTCTCTAAAGAATTTGTGCTTGAGGTAGATGCATCCGGACAAGGAGTTGGAGCTGTTTTAATGCAGGACCGACATCCAATAGCCTACATTAGTAGGAGCTTTAATCAGCAGCAGCAAGCACTTTCAACTTATGAGAAGGAACTGCTAGGAGTTATGTTTGCAGTTCAGAAATGGAGACACTACTTACTACCTAAGAAGTTTACTATAAGAACTGATCATCAAAGTCTAAAGTACATTCTAGATCAACGGTTGTCTACGGCATTCCAGCAGAAGTGGCTAATTAAATTGATGGAGTTTGATTTCAATATTGAATATAAGCAAGGGCGTGAGAATGTAGCTGCTGATGCATTATCCAGGATGAATTGTTCAGCTCTACTAGTTCATCAAGCTACTTCAGAGTTACTGAATTCAATTAAAAACACTTGGCAAGCTGATGTAAACTTACAAAGGATCATCATGGAGTTGCAGGCTGACAATGCTTCTCATAAGCAGTTTTCTTGGCAGAGGGGAGAGCTGAGAAGGAAAGGGAAATTGGTAGTTGGTAAAGATCAGGAAGTAAGAAGACAAATTCTGGTATGGTTACATGCTTCTGCATGTGGGGGACATTCGGGTAGAGATTCTACTCTTCACAGGGTAAAATCAGTAGTGTATTGGAAGGGCATGACCAAGGATGTTAGGAGGTTTGTACAGCAATGCCAAGTGTGCCAGAGGAGCAAGTATGATACTACTGCATCACCTGGGTTGCTGCAGCCATTACCCATTCCAGACCATGTATGGCAGCATATTACAATGGATTTTATAGAAGGATTGCCTAATTCTTTTGGCAAGCAAGTTATCTTTGTAGTAGTTGATAGATTGAGCAAAGCAGCCCACTTTATGGCCTTACAACACCCTTACACAGCTGCAACAGTAGCTCAATGCTTCCTAGATAATGTTTTCAAACTACACAGGTACGAGTACGGGTATACCCGATACCCGACGAGAACGGGGATGGAGATGAAAATCACATACCCAACAGGTACGGGTAGGGGTGGGCAAAAAAAACTAAACTGAGCTGAACTGAACTGAACTGGTGGTGAACTGTACTATAAAAAACTGAACTGTTTGTAAAAAAAACTGAACTGAACTGTTTAAAAAAAACTGAACTGAACTGAACTGTTGTAAAGTTGAACTGTACTGAACTATAAAAACTGAACTGAATTATAAAAATTGAACTATTTTTATAAAATAATAAAAATTAAATGTGTTTAACATGTTATGTCTTAATGGATTAGCTCGATAGTCTAATAACCAAAACTTTAGAAAAAAAGGATTTGAAAAAAAATTATATCAATTTTGTTGAACTTAACGGATCAATTGAGCTATGTTGAACTACTTATTTTTAGGCTTAAAATTCACTGAGTTTGTTTGACTTAATTTTATATTTTTTTCCTTTGAAAAATTTAAATAAAATGGAAAATAAAGTAAAGTTGACAAATGTGTCCTATTTTGATAGATCAATGAGTCAAAATTGTTCAATTCAAAATATCATAACAGTTTAGTGCAGTTTAAATTGCAGTTCAGTTCAAGTTTTTATAGTATAGTTCAGTTCAGTTCAATGACACAAAAGAATAGTTCAGTTCAGTTCGTCTGAACTAATATTTAGTTTAGTTCAGTTCATATGAACTACTTTTAAGTTCAGTATAGTTTTTATAAGTTCAGTTCAGTTCAGTTCGTTTTGCCCACCTCTAGGTACGGGTACAGGGACAGGTATGGATTTGGCTCGCGGGGACGGGGACGGGTATCATGAAACCCGTACCCGCCCCGCCCCGTTGCCATCCCTACATTACACCCAATAAAATATTAGTATGTCTAGTGATGGGTGAGATCACCAATTCACTATACAAACTAATGAAAGTTTGAGGCACTTACCAACAAAAGTATTACCCGCATGCTTGTTATTAATTGATTGCACAGTTAAAGTCAACGGTAGTAATAAAAGTCAATTAATTAAAAGTAATAACTGATTAATACTAGTAATTATTAGTTGTTAATTGAGAAAAAAAAAACAACTGTTTTTTTTACTTAAGAACATTTATTTTATTTTATTGTTGTTGATAAAATAACAACTATTTTATTATATATATATATATATATATTATAAATTTTACTAGGATTATTTTAAAATCATTTTTAAGAATATTAACTAAACACGTTTTTAAATATAATCGAAAATAATATTTCTAATTATAAATTATATAATTTCTAATAATGAAACTTAATATCTTAAAACAAAATACTCAAAAAAAAAGAATATAACAGTTAATAATCAATATTATATGACCCGAAAAATTTTCACATCCTATCTTATTTAACAGATATATAAAAAAAAATTATTGATTAAAAAATCGTTGCTACCACCTTTCTTTTGTGAAATAAAGCCTTTTCTGTAACTAACTTAATCCATTTAGTAATCGCTACATTCATTTTATTTTAACAAAAAAGTTATAATAATAATAATAATAATAATCCAATTTAAAGCAAACAAAATTTTCACTACTTCACTAAGAGTCTTGATTAATCGCTAATCTAAAACAGGAGGGAAAAGGAGAAATAAAAAAAAAAAGGTTAAAAATAAAAAAGAACATGTATGATAAATAATATAAAAAAAGTCAATAAAAGATATAAACTAAAAATCTATTTGACAGTTAAGATAGATAAAATAATTATCCTATCTTATTCATTGTTTGTTACGTTAATAAAATATGGTTATTTTATCTTTTTTTTTTGTTAGCTCTTATTTATTATTTAATTACATTTAATTAATATTTTTATTATTATAAGAGAGTACTAGTTGATAAAGTAATGGAACAAGATAAACTCTTTTTATTTATTTATTTATCTATTTATTCTAATGTTTGTTTATCTATTATAATAATTTTGACATAAAAATTTAAAATATATTATTAATTAAAGTTAAATATACTTTTGATTCTTAATATGCTGTATTTTTGGTTTTGATCTTTAATTTTTTTTAAATGGTCTTTTTAAAATCTAATTTTTATATTTTAGTCTTTATTATTTTATTTTAGTTCTTATAATATATCTATTTTTTCATTTTTAGTATCTATAATATTTTTGTTTATTTTGAGTTATTTCCTTTGAAAAAAAGTTGGTAAAGACTAAAACTAATTTTTTTTTTTTATACATATTATAAGGGCACAAAATTCCTTAAAAAATAATAAGGACAAAAAAAAAATGTTACAAGGACTAAAATGAGAGAGAAAGAGAGAGAGAGAGAAGTTTTACAAGGATTAATATATATGAGTTTTAAATATTTTAAAAAATTATCAATTAAATTAAAAATTCATTTTAAAAATATATATAATTTTAACAAAATAGTAATTTTATCATTTAAATATAATTTATATTCTATCTTTTTATATCAAATACACAAAAGTTAATATAATAATTCTATCTTATTCATTATCTAACCTACACAAAACACTAAACTATCTTAATTATTTTATCTTATACTTGTTTTATCCACATAGTTATCTATCCGAAACTACAACTATGGATCCCGTAGTGGAAGATGAAGTAGTTATAATCTATTTTACTTGTAAAAAAGAATCTTTATCTATCCTATATCCTCTCTTATCGTTTTCGAAAATGCTGAGAGCTTTGTCACAATCAACCCCATAAACCCCACCATTCATTAGAGTTGCATCATTCACCATTTTTTTTTTTCTTTTCCTCGTAGTTAAACTCTTCCACGTTGACCCAAAAAGAATCATCCTGTGGTAGATTTCCAAATCCCGAAACAAATACTTAGAATATTTTAACGTAAGAGATTTTTAGATCCAGTGTTTTCACTTGTGGGACCCATTGGTCAAAATCCCGCGCATTAAAACTTTCTATCATCGAATCCCATGCTTAAAATACGTATCGCACAATCGTTACAATAATAATCATCATCTTTGCACTCAATTTCGTGGCCTTTCTTTTTTCCACTTCGCACGAGCCTCCAAACCAAACCAAACTTTGTTCCAACTTCCTCAAACTTTTCTGTCACTCTCATGACTCATAATAGAACTGCATCACCGACAACAAAAGGACAACGGTAATCAGTGGAACATGAAAATGCAGCAATTTGCCACCGCCGGAGAACCCAGCCACGGCGGCTCCGATGCCCGCACGGTGGTGGTGGGAGTGAAGATGGACTCCCACAGTAGGGAGTTGCTCACTTGGGCTTTGTTCAAACTTGCTCAGCCTGGTGATGTTGTGCTTGCTCTTCATGTTCTTGGGAATGATGGTATAAAAAATAAAAAACCAATTTTTTTTTTTGGAATTTTAGTTTTTTTTTTGTCCTTGGAGTGGAGTTTGACTATGTTTTTCTCTTTTGGCGAAATGGGTTGGTGCAGAAATCGTGAATCGAGAAGGAAAATCCTCTTTGTTTTCGCTTGTCAAAGCATTTGAGTCTGTTCTTGCCGTTTATGAAGGATTCTGCGATTTGAAACAGGTTGTGTTTGTGTTTCTCAACAACTCTTAAATTGTGTCGGTGGTTTTCTCATGAAATCGCGGTCATTTTTTAAAACCTCGTGTGTTATTTATGATATGTGGGACACTCGAATTGTCCTGTGTTGTATGGGAAATTGATGCTCCGAAATTTGAATGTGTGGAATGTGAATTTTTTATTTATAATTTTTGTGTGGAAATTACTATTCAGGTGGATCTTAAGCTCAAAATATGTCGGGGTTCGTCAGTGAAGAAAATTTTGGTTCGAGAAGCGGATGCTTGTTCCGCAACACACATCCTAGTTGGAACACCTCATGGTCTTAGTAGAATTCGGCCATGTATATCTGTGGCAAAGTACTGTGCTAAGAAGTTACCAAAGGATTGTTGGGTTCTTGCGGTTAATAATGGGAAAGTTGTTTTCAAGAGAGATGGGTCACCCGCAACTCGTGCTGACATAAAAGGTTTCTTTTTAATGAATTTTCCGTGTTCTGTGTTGTGATGTGAAATTGTGAATCTCAATGACATGTAGAGTTCTGAGTGGATTTGTTGTTGCAGGGCTTAATCATCAGGATCACAAAAATGGGTTGCTTGGTACACTCAGCAAGAGTTCACAAGTGCTAGATGTTGATGGTACAGTGATGAATGGAAAGGGTGGTGGCCAATTTTCGGATCACAGTTTAGCTAAGGCTTTTCTGGACTCAAAAGAGTTCAAGGGGAAGAAGGGGTGCTTTATTTGTGCTTCAACTCCAGCATTGTTTGATTCAACTTGTAAGAATTCAGAAGAAGAGTCTTGTGGTGAAGTTGAGGAGAAGAATCCTTTGGCAATAGTGCCTGTGCAGACCAATGGTGCTGCTTCTAAAGCTGGTTGGCCACTGCTTCATAGGAAAATTGTATCTGACGGGAAATGCCCTGAAAGATCAGTGTTGCGCCAGATCTCTGTGGTACAATGGGCAATGCAGTTACCCTCTAGAAATATTTCATATACTGCACATCATGACCATAAAACATATCATTTTGACCGGGATAAGGATCGGTTTTCGGGTCTAGACAGCAATTGTGGTGCTCTTGTTCCTGTGAATGCTGAAATAGGGACTGTTTCTTTGCCTGAACACAATTCAAGAAGCATTCCTAAGGAATTGGTGGGCCTTCATGAGAAATACTCATCCACTTGCACATTGTTTAAGTACCAAGAGCTTGTATCGGCAACATCAAATTTCTTGCCTGGTGTGTATTTAAGTATTTTATCTTGTACATGTTTGATTCAAGATCAATTTGTCAACGAAGGGTTTATTTTTAACATGGTTTTGTTTTGTGATTTCAGAAAATTTGATTGGGAAAGGAGGAAGCAGTGAGGTTTATAGAGGCTGCCTTCCTGATGGCAAGCAACTTGCCGTTAAGATCTTAAAGCCATCTGAGGAAGTTTTGAAGGAGTTTGTTCTAGAAATAGAAATTATCACTACCTTGCATCACAAAAACATTATTTCCCTCCTTGGGTTCTGCTTTGAGGATGGCAATCTTCTTTTGGTCTATGATTTCTTATCAAGAGGAAGCCTTGAAGAGAACCTCTATGGTACACTACATTACTACATCACCTTTAATTCTTTTTCATTCTATGTGGCCTTATTCACTTACTTATTTCTTCTTTTTATCTCATAACAAAATAGGTAATAAGAAAATTCCACTTGTGTTTGGTTGGACTGAGAGATACAAGGTGGCAATGGGTGTTGCTGAGGCTTTGGAGTATCTGCATGATAATGAAGGCCAATCTGTGATCCATCGCGATGTAAAATCATCAAATGTTCTGTTATCTGAGGATTTTGAACCCCAGGTAGTTCATCTTTCTGTTGGTTGATTTTCATATTTTGTATCATTTTGTACATGTCAGGCTTTAGGCCTCATGCTGTTATGTTGATTTTTAATACAGCTCTCTGACTTTGGACTTGCTAAATGGGCATCAACCTCTTCATCACACATAATCTGCACAGATGTTGCTGGAACCTTTGGGTTTGTACTTTCAATTGCCGCATAACTAGACATTTATACATGCTTCTGCTAACAGAATTTGCATTTTAATCAGTTCTAATTTCTAAGATATGTATGACACTCATTGATGCAGTTACATGGCTCCGGAGTACTTCATGTATGGTAAAGTAACTGAGAAGATTGATGTCTATGCATTTGGTGTTGTGCTTCTTGAGCTTCTTTCAGGGAGAAAGCCCATAAGTGGTGATTATCCCAAGGGTCAAGAGAGCCTTGTCATGTGGGTATGTCTCTAATATTCTACTCTATCATCTACTCTTTTACTTCTTATATATTCATATGCATTGGAGGAAAAATAATGGACCAATACCCTTTGCAGGCAAGTCCAATTCTAAACAGTGGGAAGGCGTCACAATTGTTAGATCCTAGTTTGGGTGATAACTATGATCATGAAGAAATGGAAAGGGTGGTCTTGGCAGCCACACTTTGTATCAGACGTGCTCCAAGAGCTAGGCCTCAAATCAGCCTTGTAAGTAAATTGATCCATAAATTACAAATTGCTGTAGCAAATTGAGTCCTACTCCTATCCCATAAAAATGACAGAATATTTTGTTTTGCTTGTGGAAAAGGACCTAACATTAAATGTTGTTTTGCTTATATCATGTTGTACTTTTTTTATCATATACCATGTTGTACTTATCCAAACAAACTCATAAAAGAACAAGTATATCATGTTGTACTTGAGTTCAAATTGCTTACTCATATACTTCATCTTATTATAAATCTGTTAGGATATAAGTTTAGAAGAGTTTCTCTATTGAAAAAAAAAATTCTTCATTTTCACTATAGATGCTCTGAAAAGTTCTTCTAAACATATATTCAAACATACTCTATTTGAACATCAATTCATTATCATATTGTTAATGTGGTATTTTTTCAATTGTACCACAGATCTCTAAGCTCCTTGGAGGTGATGCTGATGTAATCAAGTGGGCAAGACTAGAAGTCAATGCTACGGAAGCACCAGAAATGCTTGATGATGAAACTTGTCCACCTTCAATTCTGCAGTCACATCTTAACCTTGCATTGCTTGATGTGGAGGATGACTTGCTCTCCATGTGCAGTGTTGACCAACATGTCTCATTGGAGGACTACCTGAGAGGCAGGTGGAGCCGTTCTTCAAGCTTTGATTAAGCAAATTGCTAGAACAAGGATTGTTTTTTTAAATCTAAACCCTTTGTAGATAGTTTTGATGTGGTTCATGTTCCACCATCTATGGCATTGGCTGTGGATATTTATAGATATGGGTTTAGGATGAGAGGTTGTTTGTGTGTGCCCTCCTCCTTCCCTTCACTGTCAAGGAAACTATGCCCTGTAATTTGGAAGGCTAGTTACCCTTTCTCGTTCTACTTTAACTGGTGCCACTTTTAATCCTTAATCTCAATTTGATACAGTTTAATATGTAACGGTACGAAAAATAAAAGATGCAAAAGGTGTATCTTAAAACTACATAATGGTCACTGTTCTCATGCATTTTAATAAAGTTAATGGAAATTTCTTGTCTGGTGTTTGGATTGTCTCCTACTGGTATGTTTTTCATAATTGTATTTTCTTTAACTATGATATTATTACAAAGTATCTATAGTCAAAAAAATTTAATGTCCAACAACTTAGTTAATAAATACAAGCTATTGTCATTTATATTAATCTATATTTTTTCATAATTATATTATTGGTATAAAATATTTACTAAAATTTGTGTCATATTTCACCTTAATTTTAATTAAGTAATTGGGAAATGAGATCGTTAATTCAACAATGAATTTGACTATTTTGATACATGAGATACATTTTAGTAATTTTTTTTTGTTTTTATTTTTAAGTTGATATTTTTCGCTTAAATTCATACAATACATCTTATAATTTTAAAATGTTTAAATATATTTTTAGTCCTCAAATTTAGTGTAATTCTATTTTTAGTCCCTCAATTTTAAAATTGTTGTTTTTAGTCCCTATAATTTCAAAAAATCTTATTTTAGTCCTTATATTCAAATTTTGTTAAGAAATTTATCAAACATTATTACATAAAATTTACCTATTAGTATCCCTATCAGTGAAAATATCACATTAAATCCGGTTGATTTTGCATAACTGTATTAATTAATCACTTTCAAATATGTTATTGGTGACCTAAGGGACTAAAATAAGATTTTTGAAAATTACAGGGACTAAAAACAATAGTTTTAAATTTGAGGGACCAAAAACAAATTTATCTTAAATTTGAGGGACTAAAAACATATTTAAGCCATTTTAAAATTGCCTACTCTCTAAAAGAAATTCATTTCAGTTACCTATTTTTAAATTTTAATATTTTTTTTCTATGATTATCTTCCAATAATTTTAAAAATTAAATATGTAGAAATACAAAATATTTCTTTTATATATATATATATATATATACTTTGTAACGCCTTTGATCTTTACATTTAAATTATTACACCTTTTTACACTATTAAAAAATCTAGAAAATCAATATTTTTTTAATAACTGTCATCTTTCACATACAATCAAAAACAAAATAAAACTAAATAACCACTTACTTCTATTATCTTTCTTTTTAATTTATTTTTAATGTGTAAACACAAAAATTAATCGTCCATTTTTCTTTTATTGTAACTGTTATAATATGTGTAGCAAATTGAACTTGTTCTCTTATTTTTATTACATTTTACTTTATTTAAATAAAACATTTAGAATCATGGAGTGTTTCAATTCCATTAATCACTATAAACTTTAAAGTTATGATTTATTGGAACAGCTGCAACCACATAAAAGTGGTATTGGATATTGATAATTCATTGATCAAAGTGGTATTGGACTTGATTTCCTATTTAAGTTTTATGTATGAAAAAAACGTGTTTGAAACCACTAAAGGTAAATATTAGTTGACAAACTAATATGATGACAATTTTTCAGAAACTAATATATTAGTTATAGAACTTTAATTAATTAATTTGATGAACGGAATTTAGGCAGATTAAGGTGATGATATGAGTAATTTAAAAAAATTAACATGATGGTTTATATAAAAAATATATTTATTAATTGTTTAATTATAGGAAAATGGAGGAGGAAGGGGATGAAAAACAATAATTTTTTACTACGTTTTTGTTTATTTTAGAAATTTGGAGATGACAAATAGGAGGGTGAATATTTCTTTCTTTCTATATTTGTCTCTCCTACAATATTATAAAATTTAGAATAAAAAGAAAATAGTTTATAATAATTTCTTACTTTATTGACTAATTTGGCCTACTATTATTTTAAAATTCAATTTTTGCCTTATATTGTTGTAAAACCTATGCACAATGCTACCTCTCAAGTTTCTTTATATGCAACTCCCTCATCTTCACTTTTGCCTTTTGGAAGAATCAAGGTTGTGAGTTGTGGAACCAAGGTTCTTGTTATCATTTTTGTTTGCCTTCATTATGGAGTTGGCATGGGAGTAATAGCAAAATTATTGATTTACTTTACATTATTGTAATGGTGATTGTAGTATTCTCTTTCAACTTATATATATGAAAATACTTAATTTTTTTTACATGCAATATAAATAAATTTCAATCAAGTTAATCTTATTTAATATTTTAATTTAAAAATATTCTTATAATAATAAATGAGAATACTATAATGTGATTAATAATATTTTAAAAATATATTGTATATTTTATGTAAATTTATGAAAATTAAATACATTTAATAAATTATTTTCATTTGTAAAAATAAATATTTTTATTTATATTAACTAAATTGAGACACTTTATATCTCTATATATATAAATAAAAAATATTTTATTAAGTGTTGTTGTGGTATGATATTTTTGAAGAAATTCATCCATAATATTTGGTAAAGTGGAGAAAAAATATGGAAAAAATGTTATTTTAGAGAAGTGGGTAATTATTAATTGGAGTGGGTAGTTATTTTAGATGAGTTGAAAGATAAAAGAATATGTACATAAGAATATGAAAATTAATTTTATTGAAATCAAAATAGAAAAATAAATGTGAAAATCAAATGAGTTAATGTGACGTAGCAAGTTGGTGTTTTAGTAGCCCAGAACGGGTCGTTCCCAATCTGGAACGGGCTGTTCCAAGCTATTAAAATGGACAGTAAATCGTAGCTAAGAACGGGTCGTTCTGGAGGGAGAACGGGCCGTTCTGGTTGGAGAACGGGCCGTTCTGGAAGGGAGTACGGGTCGTTCTAGTTGAAGAACGGGCCGTTCTGGATGAGTTCCTGTTGAGATTTTCGTTGAAGTACTTTTGTTATAATTGTAAATCAGTTTAATTCTATCAACGGTCTCAAATACGACAAGTATACCGGCCGTTCAAGTAGTAAAAATATCGTATCCACAAGGATTAGAAGGTAAAATAAGCATTTATTGACTATTCGTGACTAAAGAATGATTCCAATTTCATAGTTGTCATGTGAATTCAAGGTTATGACTATTGGAATGTTAAACTACAAAAATAATTGATTGTGAGTGGAAAAGGTTAGAGATGGTATAATGGTTTTGTGAGGTTGTGGGGGTTAGATTTCACCGAACGTCAAACTAATGAATCCTTAATCTCTTGTTACATACATTGCTTAGTCAACCCATAAGTTTACTCAAACCTAATCCCTTAGAGAAAGAGCCTAGGTGCGGATATTAAATATCAATCCCTTGAGTACCCAATACCTACACCCGCATTATAGATTAGGGTTTAAGACTACTAATGGGTCAAGCTCTATCCCTAGATACAATCTCCACTAGGCATATGTTCCAGAACTAGTTTCAATGGTATTTCCCAATACTCAATGGAACCTTAAATCATGCAAAGGGTGATCAATCCAAAGCAAGCATTAAGCTTAGAGACGTACACAACAAAGAATGAAACAATACATATATATATCATTAAAAACGTAAGGATTACAATAGAGTACGTTGGTTACATCTAACCCCACAAAAATGGGTAGAACCACTCAACAATGAAGGTAAATACAAAATAGAGATGAAGGGAGAAGTGAAGAACCGAAGGAAAGATCCACAAACGAACGGTCCCAAGCCCTGGGAATCCCTTCCGCAGCTCCTGGAGGCGCCCCTGCGTGAATGGGGAGAAAAGTCCCCGAAAATGCCTTCAAATACGAGCTTGGGGAGTCAGATTAGGGTTTACACGCCCGACGCATAAATCTTCATGCCCGGCGCGGGGTCTTCCAAATACTCTCTGCCTTAGGACACGCCCGACGCAATTAATATTACGCCCGACACAGATGTGGCTTTACAGAGGTGAGACTCCGTTTTGATCACGCTCGACGTGGGTCATGTGGCGCTCGGCGCATTCACTCTTCTCTGCTCCTTAGCTTCTTAGATTTCCAATCCAAAGGATCTTCAACTTTCCACTCTTCACTCAATACCTGCACAAAAAATGAGGTGGATTAAGGTATTGTTAGATGAATTTGGGTTAGTTATATCTGCACACAAAATGAACCAAAAAGAGAACAATTATATTGCAATGGTTCAAAGGATGAGTGGAATTTGTTCAATAAGTCTCATCCAAAAAGAGGTAAAATTGAGACTTAACAACTCCCCCAAACTTAGAACCTTGCTTGTCCTCAAGCAAAAGGTAATTAATCTAGCAGATAACAAGCAATGCAAGTGAGTCAATTTCTACATCCTAGTT